TCTCTTGGCCATTTATATGTCCCGTTTGGAGAGGTGTCTATTGAGGTCCTCTGCCCATTTTTTAATTGGATTCTGTGTCTTCTTTTTGTTGAGTTGTATGAGTACTCTATATATTTTGGAGATTAACCCCTTATCTGATATATGATTGGCAGTTAATCTCTCCCACATTGTGGTTTCCTTTCCATTTTAATGCTTGTTTCTTTTGCTGTGCAGAAGCTTTTTATTTTGATGTAGTCCCATTTATTCATTTTTTTCTTTCTTTTTTTTTTATCCTCACCTGAGGACATTTTTCCATTTTTTGCACAGACAGAGTGGGAGGGAGAGAGAGGAAGAGAGAGACAGACAGAAACATCGACGTGAAAGGGACACATTGAGTGGCTGCCATCCGCACGACCAACCAGGGCCGGGGACAAACTGCAACCGAGGTACATGCCCTTAGCGGGAACCGAACCCGGGTCTTTCCAGACTGCAGGCCGATGCTCTAACCGCTGAGCCAAACCGGCCAGGGTTATTCATTTTTTTCTTTTGTTTCTCTTGCCTTAGGCGTTGTATCAGTGAAAATTCTGCTGAGTGTGATGTCTGAAATTTTGTTGCCTACATTACTTCTAGAATATTTATGTATTCACATGTCACATTTAAGTCTTTTATCCATTTTGAGTTTATTTTTGTGTGTGGTGTAAGATGGTGGTCTAGTTTTATTTTTTGCATGTAGCTGTCTAATTTTCCCAACATCATTTATTAAAGAGGCTGTCTTGACTCCATTGTATGCTCTTGGCACCTTTGTCAAGTATTAATTGAGCATAATGCCTTGTCTCAATTTCTGGGATCCTGGTTCTGTTCCATTAATCTAGATGCCTATTCTTGCGTCAGTACCAGGCTGTTTTGATTACATTGGCTTTGTAGTATAGCTTGATATCTGGTATTGTGATTCCTCCTACTTTGTTCTTTTCTTTTCAGATTGCTGTGGCTATTTGGAGTCTTTTTTTGGTTTCATAGAAACTATTGAAGTTTTTGCTCTAGTTCTGTGAAATATATCATTGGTATCTTAGAAGTCCATTGAGCAGCGGAGTGTTGTTGGTATTTTAATGGGCATGGCACTGAGGGATTTTTTATTTACTGAGGACAACCCAAGGATCATCAAATGATTTAGACTAATAGCCTGCAGGCAAAAGCTAGAGGAAAACTGAACCTTTGATTGGCCTACAAATCTATCCAGGAAAGTAAGACTTGACAGTGGTGTTTAATATGCGTCCTACCTCACTCACCCAAACCCAGTAGAGGGAGCCACAATCAGCATAACACCAACACCCACAGGAAAAATTTGGCAGACTCCAAAACCCATTGAGACAGCCAAAATGGTGAAATGAAACAAATCCCAAATGAAAGAACAAGAGAATTCTACAGAAGACGATATGAATGAAATGCAATTAAGCATGTTATCAGAGGTAGAGTTCAGAGTAATTATAATGAGGAAGCTGAACAGCATGTGTAAAGGGCTCAATAGCACGAGTAAAGATATAGAAACATTGAAAATCCACCAACTGGAAATGAAAAACCACCAAACAAAAATGAAGAATCACATAGCAGAAATAAAGAACACACTGAAAAGAATAACCAGCAGAGTAGAGGAGGCCAACGACAGGGTCAGTGAATTAGGAGACAGGGTCGAAAAATCGCCCAATCAGAGCACCAAAAAGAACAAACAATGAAAAAACAAGAAGACAGTATAAGAGAACTGTGGAACAAAGGAAGCATAACAACATTCGTGTCATAGGAGTTCCAAAAAAGAAGAAAATGAGCAAGGATTAGAGAATATATTTGAAGAAATAGTGACAGAAAACTTCCCTAAATGGTGAAGGAAAAAGGCATTCAAGTTGAAGAAGCACAGAGAGCCCCAAGTAAGAAGAACCCAAACAGGCCCACACCAAGACACCTAATAACTACAACGCAAAAAAGTAAAGACAAGGAGAGAATCCTAAAGGCAGCAAAAGATAAGCAACAGGTTACCTACAAAGGAACCCTCATGAGTTCATCATCTGACATCTCAACAGAGACATTACAGACTAGAAGGGAATGGCATGAAGTAATCAAGGTAATGGAAAACAAGGGTGTGAATCCAAGACTACTTTATCCAGCAAGCCTATCATTCAAAATAGAAGGTGAATTATAGAGCTTCCCAGATAAAAGAAAAAAAAATGGCTAAGGAAATATTTTAGCACCAAACAAGCACTGCAAGAAATGTTAAAAGGACTGGTGTAATAAGCAGAAAAAATAGGAAAATGACATAACCACAACCCAAAAAAAAAAGGCAATAAATAAGTAGGTATCAATAATAACCTTAAAGGAAAATGGGTTAAATGCTCCAATCAAATGTTACAAAGTAACTCATTGATAAGGAAGCAGGACTCATACATATCTTCCTTGCAAGACACCCACTTCACAACAAAACTCACAAAGGTTGAAAGTGAAGGGATGGAAAAAATTTTTTAAGAAAATGGAAAGAAAATAAAGACTGGGCTAGCAATAATCATATCCGATAAAATAGACGTCAAAATAAAGGCCATATCTAGATACAAAGGTAATAGTGAAAGGATCTATCTAGAAGAAGGATGTAACCTTGGTAAATATATGTGTCCTTATTTGCATACCCAGAATGCACTGCACCAAATCGAAGTTTAAAAAGGAGAAACTTAAAACTGTTTTCCTTTTTTCTTTTTGAAAATTAGACTTTTCATTTAGAAATGATGTGAAAACTTTTAGTGAGGCACTATATCTTGTCATTAAGTAGCCACCGTCAGTGTAATAGTAGTTGCTTTTACCCGAGGAGTGCCTGACAGTGTTGCTTGGCATGTTTCTCTCTCTCCCATTTTTTTCGTGTGGGAGGCAACCAAAAATTTTTGGTGGCCTTGCTTCGGCGAGGCAGCTTGAAAACAAAAAACAGACTTTGATTGTTGCTAATCCGTTTGGCTAATAGTAAACGGTCACTTTAAGTGCATTGCTATGCTGGTTTTACCGAATTGTTCCTTGTTGGTTGTATAAAGCTTTCGAAAGTCTGTTTTTGTAACTCACTGATTAATATGTAAGTAATGGTGCGATTACTGCTTATTTTTGTATGCTAATGCGGTCTGACAACATGCTTAGTGTGGATTTTAATCTTAGATTTAAGTAGGTTTAGTTTGTGGTCTAACACTTGATTTGTCTTTAGGATTGTCCACTGTGCACTCTGAAAAGAATCTGAGTTGTGTAGTTTTAGGGAATAATTCTTTTAAATATCTATGAAATCCATTTGATATAGTGCATTACTTAGTGTCTGTGTCCTTGTTAATTTTTTGTCTACAGAATCTTGTCCAGTGATGTCAGTGGAATGTTTAAGTCCTCTGCTGTGATTGTATTTCTGTTGGTTTCTCTTTTGAAAACCTACTGAAGTATTAAAATATATTTTTGTTGTTTCTGTATTTACTGCATACATGTTTATGGAGCTTATATTTACTTATTAAATAAATCTTTTCAATATTATGAAATGGCCCTTTGTCTCAGAGACTGGAGATTCTGGGATCAACCCTCAGATGGTGAAACCACTGGGAGGTCACGTGATCCGGATCTTGCAGTTTCTTCACTGACAGTTGCAGCAGTGAGTAAGGTGATGTCTGGGTGGAAGGAGTGTGCTCTTGCCAAGCTTCCTTCCTAGAGAGGAGGCAGCAGAATCCTCGCCAGGTGTGCTGCCTCCAGTTATCCACCTCAGAATCTCAGAAATTGTTAATAATTACACAAGAAGGGGCAGGGTGCTACATGAAAGTGCTTATGCAATAGTATACAAAACAAAGCTGTATGCCCTGGCCGCTTGGGCTCAGCAGTTAGAGCGTCAGCCCCTGGAACAGAGAGTCCTGGGTTCGGTTTCTGCTAAGGGCACGTACCTCAGTTGCAGTTTGTCCTGGGCCCCGGTTGGGGTTGTATGGGTGGCAGCCAGTAGATATGTCCCTGTCACATTGATGTTTCTCTCTCTCTCCCCCTCCCTTGTCCCTTACTATTCTATCTAAATAATAATAATAAAAGAAAGCTGTATGATAATTTAGCACGGTTATACAGGAGGCAATGAAATTGGTCACTCAGGGTGGGTGGATAGAGGATTTGTTTTTTCATTCTGATGTTCGGTTCTCAAAATATTGCAGTGTTGTTTGCATAATAAACAGTCCTGAACACACAATGACCTAGATAGTTGGATTAACTCCATCTTGTGAAGGATTGAAACCAACAGTTAGTTAAGGCCTTCTTCATGATGATATTTACCCTTACAATGGTGGCGTATACGGCAATTTCTATGGCACTGGCCATAGCAACAGGTCAGAGTGTGGTATCCATAGCAACACTTCTCATGAATATCTCCTTTGTATTTATGATGGTGAGTAGGAACTGTGCTTCTCTGAAAAGTAAATATTTCTTCTCATTAGTTCCTTCAAATTTACCTGTCTTGGAAAACTTGTTTTGAGGATTTTGTCAATGGGACTCTTAGCTTTCAGGAAGCCATATATCAAAATATAGTTTATAGCCCGGCCAGTGTGGCTCAGTGGATTGAACCTCATCCCACGCACTGAGAGGTGTCTGTTAGATTCCTGGTCAGGGCACATGTCTGGGCTGTGGGCTCCAACCCCAGTGGGGGCGTGCAGGAGACAGCCAGTCAATGTTTCTCTCTCACACTACTTCTATCACTCTTTCCCTTCCTCTCTCTCTGAAAAATCAATAAAAAACACATTTTGAAAATATATAGCTTATAATAGAGGATGTACCAGCTTTTTCTTGACGTTACCTAGGCTTTTTTTTGTTGTTGCTATTATTCTGATATAGTTACTATAATATTAGTTAGCATGTTGTTACAAGTGAGAGTTTAAAAGATGCTTTTTGCACCAGCCAGAGTAGATCAGTTGGTTGAGCATCATCCTGTGCATCTAAAGGTTGCTGGTTTGGGGCAAATGATTGATGTTTTTCTCTCACATAGATGTTTCTCTCTCTCTCTCTGTCTAAACAATGCCAGGTTCATTGCCTGACCTCTGCACTGGTGACGAAGAGCTGCTGGCTTATTTCTCCAGTAGCTCATATGATTTGTTTGGATCAACGGTTTCCAAGGGAACAGCTAAGCTCCTTGAGAAACAGAACAGGGTATGGCATGGGTAGTCAGTCTGTCTGGGTTGCTCCTGTAGTTTGAAAAGTTGTGCTTTAAAAATATTGAATAATTCCAAAGTCCATACAGTACAAGTTCTCCTCCTTTCTGGGTTCCTGACATTCTTTTATATCATACCTTTTTTAAAAATTGCATTCCCTTCTATGTTTTACACACACAGATGATGGTGAAGAGGGACTGTTAGCACATTTCCTGGTACTGCATCAAGTAAACAGGAATGCTTAGCCTCATTACTGAATATATGTGTCCTTTCTGCTGGAGTAGGAGTGGATGTCATTTAAATTTTATAGCTAGCCCAAACTCTTTTTTTTTTGTACAGATAGAGTGGGAGGGAGAGAGAGGAAGAGAGAGAGAGAGAGAAACATCGATGTGAAAGGGACACATCGAGTGGCCGCCACCCGCACGACCAACCAGGGCCGGGGACAAACTGCAACCGAAGTTCATGCCTTTAGTGGGAACCAAACCCGGGTCTCTCCGGACCGCAGGCCGACGCTCTAACTACTGAGCCAAACCGGCCAGGGCTAGCCCAAACTCTTTACAAAGTTTCATTTTTCATTTCTGAGTTTGAAAACTATCAATCTAAATATAATTGAAATCTAATAAACTGTGTGTATTTTCTATAGTATCATCTAATAAATAAATAAAATGCCTTTAGTATACAATAGGTTTTTCTTTTATTCTTTGCCCTTAGCGGGAACCGAACCCAGGATTTTCTGGACCGATGGCCGACATTCTAACCGCTGAACCAAACCAGCCAGGGCAAAACATTTGTTTTACATATAGGATACTTTGATTTATTATGATTATTATTGTTGTTGTTGATTATATAGAGAACTTGAAAAACCACTCACAACTGTATTTTACTGAGAGATGTTATACATTAAGCACTTGATTCAATCAAGTTGAAACACATGTATTCCCACCAACATCACTGTCCTTGTTCTGCCCATCCCGCTGGGAAGTGCCAGTTAGAAGTTTTGTATGAACTTTTTATGTAGCCATCTCTTGCTGGAGTGGTCCGTCTGGGGTCTCCATGGCAATACTGCTTTTTGGTAGCTTGAATGAAGGTATGGGTTATATTTGTGCTGCACTTCACATTATGCTGCACTAGTTCTAGGCCTTGGGTTATGTTAGGCATGCATTTGAACCCCAAATATTTCCTAAAGTCACTTGGGGATACCCTTGTAAATCACAAAGCTTACAGTGTTAAGGAAATATAAAAAGGCATGAGGTGTTCAGGATATGTGCTAGTGTTTCCTTTTTTATTTTAGAGAAAGAAGAAGAGAGAAGGAGAGGGAGATGGAAACATCAATGAGGGAGAACATCGATTGGCTGTCTCCTGCATGCCCCCCACCAGGGATTTAGCCCAAAACCTGGTCATGTGCCCAGACCGGGAATCAAACCTGTGACCTTTTGGTGCATGAGTCAATGCTCAACCACTGAGCCACACCAACCGGGCTGTTCTGGTGTTTCTATTGGTGGGAATATACAGTGGTTGTATCATTAGAGCAGTCAGGACGATACCTTTGATTGTGTGCAGATGCAGAGAAAGTAAAATCCTTCACAATTAGGATCTTCGAATTAAATGAAATACAGATACATTGTTATTCCTTTCAAACTACAGACAGCCTCAGCTAAGAGAGAAATACACAGGCAAAGAGGACATGGTAAGTGAGTAATGGAAGGAATTTCAAGAAGCCTTGGTCTTAGAAAAAATGTCCACAAGGTTGTAGGAGACTTAAAGAGGTTATTGTCTAGAACTCCTCATGGAATCACTTCACCAGTTCTGACTGTTGGGATTTGCTCTCTGTAGATTTTTTCAGGGCTGTTGGTCAATCTCAGGACCGTTGTGCCTTGGCTGTCATGGCTTCAGTACTTGAGCATCACTCGGTATGGCTGTGCGGTAAGTTTTCCTCTTCTGTCCCTGTGACTAGTCGATTGTTCCCAAGCTAGGAAGAAGCAGAATAAAGCCTGATTATCTCATGTCCGCAGATGTGCACCGTGGAGGTTGCCAGGAACTTTCTTTTAGGAGCAGTGAGGGAGTGTTTACTCGTGAGCCTTGGGTCACCCTGTTGTGTGAGGGAGGTGAAGGGTGGGGGCTCACTCAGAGTTAAGAAGAAAGATTGACAAATTCATATAAAAACAATGTAGTTGTATTTCAATCCTATAAATAAGAAAATAGTTAAGAGGATGAGATGCTAGAATTTGTGTTTTATATTGAAAGGGAAATTAGAAGAAAAATGAAGACTATGTAATGCTCATAGCCATTATTGCCTATAGAATCCAATTAATCAACTCTAAAAAACTGTCTTAATATAGTATAACTGAGTTTCTAACTCCCAAGAATTGTATTTGATTTTGATAACAAAAAAATAAGAACAATACAAAAGATTATTACATAAATAAAAAACAGCCATTTAGTGTCACTGTATCATTTTAATTACAGTGTTTATGAGGTTGTAACATTGGAGAGAGAAGGAAGACTGTGCTATGGGGTCATATAGGCAGAGGTGTGGTCGCTTGGCCAAATATTTTCTTTCCTTTGTATTAGAAGCCACAATCTCACCCTTAGGCTCTTGATTAACAGGAGCAGTCATTTTAGTTGCTCTCCTGTGGCAAAGACTATGAATGTGAAGCTTGGTTTGTTTTCAGAAGGAACAATAAAGATCAAACTAGGAGGATGCTACTTTGGATATTTTGAAATTTCACACAACCTTGCCCACTTGCCCTTGTGTTGTAGGCTTTGCAGCACAATGAATTTTGGGGACAGAACTTCTGCCAGGGACTCAATGTAACCGCAAACACTACCTGTAGCTTTGCAATGTAAGTCTGCATTCAGTGTCATAATGGGTTTGCTTCCTCGGGGGGTATGGTGGGGAAGGCCACTGGGCTTAGCTGGTGTGAGCCCTTCAGGACACTGACTTCTCAGAGACGAAGTTTTCTTATCTGCAAAGTGAGCTGTTGTCCACTAATGCGTATGAACGTATGATGCAACTCTGAGATAGTCTAAAATTGTATTTAGTTTGAAGAACTGTTTTTTATATGCCGTTAGCTTTGAGCCTTTTAAAAGATTTTCTTTGCTGATTTGACTGTGAGTGTGAGATTTGATTTTCAGAACATTTGCTTTTGAAATGAGCTGCTTTGCTATTTCGGCAAGGCCTCACAGTGCCTGCCCTGTGTGGGGTACGTGACGAGTATGGGTCCAACCTTACAGCTTCCTGCGAGTCCAACCCATGGCCCAGAGTATGAGCTGATAGGGCAGCAGCATTGGAAAAGGAGTGAACTGTACAGTCAGGAAACCTCTAGGAAGAGAAGGTTTTCTTATCCTGACCACTACCCCTCTTTTTGACCTGAGAATGACATTTTAGGTGGGGGACAGGGAGACGGCTAAATCCCAAGCGTCGTGCGGCAGTGGTACCAGACAACAACTGTGGCCGTGCCGGGTGCTAATCTAACCCGTGGCGGGGCTCCTCCTGCTCTGCCCCAGCTCCCCCCAAGGCTCCACCTGGTCACTGGGCCTGCTGGTGACGCCTCGTAGCCCAGCACCTGCCATGCTCATTCCGCCCTTGGTGCCAGAGCTGACGGGGTGCCACTGTCGGGAAGGCCTTCCGCACCCCTCTCCTGGGTTCGGAGTTCTCAGCCTGCATTCTTTGTACGGCTGATTTGGGGTAATGAGTTCTAAAAAGAGTTTTCAGCATGTTTGTAAGGGCCTAGCTGTCTCTGTTAAAGCAGAGGTTTGGCCCTTCAGGAGTAAGTGAAAACTTACTTGACAAACATTTCTGCCCTTTGAAGAGAGCAGCTTCATAGATTAGGAGCCAAATGGATCTGGAGAGGAGAGCAACTTGGTTCAAAGTGTGACTCTGTGAACTTGGCCAAGTTCCTTAAACCTTAGTCTCTTCATCTTTTACATGTGTATAATCAACATCCCACTGAGTTGTTTTAGGGGTTAACTGTTATATGCAGGTTGTTTAGCATGGCATCTAGCAGAACTTTAAGTACTAACTGACTGTAAGTGTTACTATATGATGGGATAGTTATTTGTCTTAGTAATCCGTAGGCTTCTTTAAGGAACAGTGCCTATATTGAGTAAAATTGGACAGATGCGAAGAATGCAGTCATAGTCTCTTTCTGTTGAATTTCAGATGCACTGGAGAAGAATTCTTGATGGACCAGGGCATCAGTCTCTCACCTGGGGCCTGTGGCAGCATCATGTAGCCTTGGCAAGCATGACTGTTATCTTCCTTACAGTGCTGACCTAAAATGGTTATTTCTTAACAAATATTCTTAAATTCCTCTTTAATGTACATGATTGATCTACATAGTAAAAAGGGAGCACCCCGGCCAGGTGGCTCAGTTGGTTAGACTGTCATTCTGATACGCCGAGGTTGTAGGTTTGCTCTCTGGTCAGGGCACATACACGAAGCAACCAGTGAATGTATAAATGAGTGGAACAATAGGCCTCTCTCTCTCTCTCAAATCAATCAATAAAAAAATAAAATATAAAAGTAGCATCTTGAGTAAGTATTCAATGAAGTATTTTGTTGTCTTCTTTTAATTTGCCATCGTATTGTTCAGCCAGAATTTCTTTCAACACAACCCTTTGTAGAAATTCCAATGAACTGAATTATAAAAGAACCGAAGTCGTCAACTAGTGATATTATGTACTGTTTGTTAGTTCATCATGAAATAACCAGGAAAATTCTAATTTAATTAATTGACCTAAAAAATTCAGATTGTAGAAACTCATGGAAAGTCACTAACATCTGTTACTTTTCTCATCTTTAAATGGAATAGATGTGCCAGTTGCCCTCCAGCTCCCATATGATATGAACCTATGGTCTGCCATTATCTAATAAACAAGAAATAACAGCCCTGGACGGTTTGGCTCAATAGTTAGAGTGTCAGCTCATGGACCGAAGAGTCACAGGTTTGATTTCGGTCAAAAACGGCACCTACCTCGGTTGTGGTTCAGTCCCCAACCCTGGTCGGGGTCGTGCAGGAGGCAACCAATCGATGAGTTTCTCTCAAATCGATGTTTCTCTCTTTCTCCCTCCTATTCTATCTGAAGACAAATGAAAAAATGTCCTGGGATGAGGATTTAAAAAACAAATGCATTACTGCTTTAGTAGTAATATGAAATCTAAACTGTTGGAAAAATCCAGTGTTATTTATTGGGTAAAAAAGCCATTATGTTGGGAAAGCTGTGGTAAGTCTGGAAAGGTTAGTACAACTTACTGAGATTTCTCTGTGATGGAATCAGAGTATCTCAGGCGTCTTGGCTGGGCTTTGGACTGTAGGTGCAGAGAACCAGGACCTGGTGGCTCACCCTTCCTGTGGTCGTTCAGCGGTTATGTGCATGTCACCTGGGAACGTTGCTGAAATACAGGTGTCGGCCCTGTGAGCCCTGACGCGTCAGTACCTCCAGGGCACCTCCATGAAGAACTGTCCGTGCCAGGAATTCGTAACTTCCAAGAGCCTTCCCAGCTCTGCACATGGTAGATTTATGATACAGTAACAGTTCTAACTGGCCCTGTGCAGGTTTTCTTCTTCCCTCATATACATCTCATTTATTTACACATCGTTTCTTCATTCTAACCTTTACTAGTAATAGGGAAGTGTTTTTTAGCTTCTTTTTTATCAAAGGGTAATGTAGGGAAACGTAGAGTTCAGTGAATTATAAAAGGAACACCCCTGCATCCACCAATCCAGGCCAACAAGTAGACATTACAGCGCACGGAAACCTCCCTCATGCTGTCTATATGGTCCTATTCTAGAGGAGCCCAGCCAGTCATGGGTGACTGATAACATGTTATAACTTAATGATTGTCTCTGAAGTCTGTGAGGATCACCATCTTGAGCTATGGGTCCTACCTGAATCATTAACTTTTTAAACATTCTGTACTTTCAGTCTCATTTTGCATTCCCTTGTGGCAGAACTGTATATCGTTTTGTAATACCTCTTTCTGTACTGTGTCTAAAGAACTTTTATTTTCAATGTAGCAGTGGGATTAGAGAAGGTCTTTGGTTTGAGAGCTCTTCCAAGTCTTTGCAGTATAATTTTTGACATATCCACATTGCATATTCATACTACAACCTGTTTCTGTGTGCACACAGACAAATAATCCAAACAACTTTTATGCACTGCATTCTGAAAGTTATTTTTGAAAATAGGCTTCAAGTAAAGCTATTTTATAGGCCCACCAATATAATAAAGTGAATATGTAATTAATAAATATTTTCAAAAGTGTAACTAAAAAATATTTTTTTTCTTTATTGATTTTAGGGAGAGAGGAAGGGAGAGGGAGAGAGAAAGAGAGAGAAATATCAATGAGAGAAAAGTGATTGGCCACTTCCTGCATGCCCCACACTGGGGATTTGGCCCACAACTTGGGCATGTGCCCTGACCGGGAATCAAATTGGTGACCTCTTGGTGCATGGGTCGACACTCAACCACTGAGACACCCCAGCCTAGCAAAATCGTAATTTTTTCATTTTAGTGTCCTGGCGTGATAAATTATGAAAATTTTCTGGTAATATTACTTTACCTACTTCAGAAATCATAAAGATTAGGTAATTAATACTTAATTTGCATTTTATGTTCCGTTTTCATACATCCTTCCATTCTTTGAATTCCATCTTGCATATATAAAATGAGATTTTTTTTAGTTTTAAAACTTTATGATTGCAATAAAATTTTATGATTGTATTGAATTATTTTTAATTAACTACAAGGAGCTGCCCAAGTACACTTTTTCAATTTCCACTGCATGTCTTGGTGGAAGCCTAATGTTTTTTTTATTTTGAATTGTTACAAAAATATTTTGAATCTTCTATTATGGAGATTTGGACTCAGAGTTGCTAAAATCGAAGAGGCCCTTCTTCCTTCTGTTTGAAAGGTCCGCCTTTCACGTCTCTTGGTTCTGTGTAAACATTTCTTAAAAAATATTTATTTTATTCATTTTTAAAAATAAGTTTTCATTGATTTTTTTAGAGAGAGAGGAAAAGAGAGAGAGATAGAAACATCAGAGCATGTGCCCTGACCCAGAATCGAACCGGGACCTCTCAGTCCACGGGACGATGCTCAATCCACTGAGCCACGCCGGCCAGGCAGTGTTAGTTTTTATTTTTTATACTTTGTTTTGGTGGGAAGGGGCAGGACAGAGGCTACAGCTTGGTTCCTATGGACCAGAGGTGAACTTCAGTGATGGGACTCAATAAGAAACACGTTGTAGTCTGCCTTTTTAAAAACAAACAAAACAAAAAACCGACGATTCTTGACAAACGTAAAAAGGGTTCTTAGCTATACAAGCCAGGGGTGTGAGCCAGATTTGTCCAGCAGGCCCCAGTTTGCAGAGACCCCTGGGGTGAACAGATGTTGCTCCAGCTTCATGTGAAACCATAGTTAAATCTGACAAACCAGATTCCTAAAAAATTTGCTGGCAATTTGATTAAAATAGTTAATTATCAAGATATATTGAGACACTGTTTCTGCAGTGCACCCAGGAGGCTCTGTCAGGCTCTGAGGAATTAATTCACAGTAGCCATCCTGATAAAAAAGATCAAGAGACCAGAGCACCAGTTTGCTAATTTAAACAGTAAAATGTTATGCAGACATTTACTTGTGGCCTTAAGACCCTCAAGTGTGAAACTGAGATAAGAGGATTCTGTGGTAAAGACAGAATTAGGATTTAAGACCAATTCAGACGTCGACTACACCCACAGGAACGTGTGTCAAGCTAACCTGAGTAGTTGCAACACTTCACCTTCACCAAGACACTGCAGGAGATAAGCAGTACCCCCCACCTCACCCTCAAAGGGTTGTGTTTATTCTCAGTGGGACAAAGATACCATGAAAGAAAACCTGGAACCGAACCAACACAGCTACCATCCTGGGGCACCTCCTGGCTTTCCATCACCCCCCCGCCCCCGCCCCCGGACTATAAGATAAAGTTTATTTAGAAAGTCACAGAGGAAGGAAAAGTGAGCCAGCTGGGCATGGGCTCAGGAAACAAGTGACAGAGGCAAAAGAAGGGCCCTTGGAGCTCAGGAGAAAGACAGAGGCAAGGAAAACTCACCTGGGGGCAGGGGGTGAGGAAAGGCTTCGCTTGCTCCATAGAGAGAGTCTGTCTCCCTTTCCACACTCTACACACATTTAAAAGAAAAGTTTGTCTCACATGTCAAATCCAGCTCCACTGCCTGTTTTGAGGGTTGCAGGCTTGATCCCAAAAAGGAGGCGAGCAGGAGGCGGCCTGTTGTTGTTCCATTCTCACATCAATGTTTCTCGTTTCCCTCACCATTCCTCTAAAAATCAATAAAAATATTTTTTTAAAAGAACAGGCACATATGCCCTGGCCGGTTTGGCTCAGCAGTTGGAGCATCGGCCTGTGGTCCAGAGAGACCCGGGTTCGGTTCCTGCTGAGGGGACGTACCTCATTTGTGGTTTGTCCTTGGCCCTGTTTGGTCATGGGAATGGCAGCCACTCGATGTGTCCCTTTCAGGTCAATTCTCTCTCTCTCTCTCTCTCTCTCTCTCTCTCTCTCTCTATCTCAATCTCTCTCCCTCCCACTCTATCTGAACAAAAAATGAAAAAATGTCCTCAGGTGAGGATAAAAAAACGGACACATATATACGTGAACCTGAAATATATTAGCAACACCAGAAAGTAGTAAGGAAAAGACTTTCTTAATAGAGTATTGATAAAACTGATTCACTACATGGAGAAAAACACCTGTGAACCTCATGGAAAGTTACACTTAAGATGTATTAAATGTGAAAGGTAAACTATAATTTAATAAATAAAAGTTTGGGACCTGACAAAGGTCTCTCTAACACCCCTTTACTCAATAAAGCCAAAAAAGAAAAAAGAAAAAAATGATGATGGATTTTGCCATGTAAAAAAACTAAGGAAGCATTGACAAAGTTATCAGTTGGATGAGAGATATTAACAAAATCCACAATTGATAAGGAATTGCTTAAACCATACAAGAAAAATTTGAAGATCAACAAAAAAGACCCAGTGGAAAAATAGACAATGAATGAAAACATAGTTGCTTCCCATTTGGTCCAAGTGTAAGATTTTCAAGACCTTAATAAGCAATTTACAAAAAAAGGAGAAGTAAATGTGGAAGAACTGTGAGGCAATGTTCAACCTTGTTAGGAATCAGAGAGAAGCAAAAGAAAATGAGACATCAGTTTATAACCATTTCATTAACAAAGATTTTATCCAATGCTCATGAAGGTATGGATAAAAGTGGTACTCACACACACAATCAGAATAATTTACTAGGGGTACGCACTGCAGAAGTTATCTGTCACTCATGTTTTTTGGACATAAAAGAGAAAATGCCTTGCCCTGGCTGGGGCTCAGCAGTTAGAGTGTCGGCCCGCGGACCAACGAGTCTCGGGTTCAGTTCCAGTCAAGGGCATGTTCCTCGATTGTGGATCGTCC